CACACACACACACACACCCACACCCACACATTCCAGCCATAGACTGGAGCAGGTGCATGTGCACTAACACGTACACACATTCACGCTTGGGTGTGTGCTGCTGAGCGCCTGCATCCACCACTGAGGATTCCTAGACAGTCCCCCATGCACAATGTTGGTACCCTTCCTACAGCCCCAACGGCCTCCTGAGTCAGAAGCCAATTCGATCAAAGGTGAACAGCCTTTGACGTCAAGACACTTCGTAAGAGGGAGACAGGAATGGAGAGAGAAAGGAGAGAAGGAAGGACAAGTTATGGCAAGCACACAGAGCTGCCAGTGGCCAATAAATGTCCCCCAGTATCGGCCGAAATACTATCTAACAAACAAAGGCAGCTCAGAAGCACATGTGATTATCATCTTGTTTGTTTAGTAGCTGGTGCTGCAGAAAGCTGGTTGGTTCCCTCACCTCCCTAATCTGTCACACTGTCAGATCACTTGAGCCAGAACAGACTTCCCTTGTCAATGACTAAAAGGGTCCTGCAGCCACAATCTGTCCCAGCTTTCTGAACACTGCATGAGGGAGTCCTGTACCTTCACATGGGCAGGAGAAGCAGCTATGTAAGTTTGTCATTTCCCAGATTCTCAAGAGAACAAGCACTCTGTCCACACTCAGGGAGCTTTTGTTAGAGCCACTCCTGGCTTCCCCATTCAGCCCTCACACCCCTAACTCAGCCTTTCCCTCTTGAGCCCTTCTCTGTTTGTTCTCACCAGGGACCATCTGAGCAACTCCTAGTTCCATGCATTCAGGAACCAAAAGGCCAGCCCTTCCCCTGGGTGGCTCTCAGTCTGGCTTGGTCTACAATGCCCAGGAAGGGGCCGAAATCCTGGATTCTACAGAACCTGACTTCCTCCAAAACTGGGGAGTGGACAGGAGGTCCCCACCAGATCGGAGATGTGTACTATAGAGAGGATGCACCTCTGATTCCCAGTTTCCCGAGGGTTCTTTTCTTCAAAGTCCCAAGGCATTTTCAAGACAATGGGGATGCCAATCCAAAGCCCACTCTTCTCCCTCTCCTTCGAGTCCAGCCGTACGTGGGCAGTGGATGTCATCATCTGACACAGGTGGGGTCCTGCCTTCCCTGGAGCCCCGATAACACATCCACAGGCTTCAGCTCCCACCTGGGACGGCCCCACACTCACTCGCCAACCGCAAAGCCACACTCTGCTCCAGTGACAGGTGACATCTCTCCCGCTCTCCCTTCCAGGACCAACAGACAATAAGGACACTCAAATTACTGGGGGCAAATAAGGGAGAGGCATAGAGCAAGAAAAAAACACAGCCCTGTTGAGTTTCCAGAGGCTCCCACCCTCCTCAAAATTCCAAGTCCTCCCAGGGGCTTCTCTCCCTGAGGCCAGAATGGCATCACCAGTTTTAACTTTAAGGAAAACATAAAAAATAAAAAAAGAGGACGATGAGGAAAAGATCCAATTAATCTTGCAAACACCTCCTGGGACACAGGGCAGGGCCAAAGATTCCTCCCATTTCCTTATTTATTTGATTTAAAAATTGTCTCTTCAGGGAAATTGACTTCAGGGCACAAGCAAGGACTTGGGAATTCAGCCAAAACACACGCACCTCCAGTGGCGACAGCCGGATGCACGGACAGCTCCAAGGACACGCTTGGCTGCAGCTGCTCCAAGGCCTGGACACTTGCCCCAGTCACCCAGAGGACCCTCTGGCTGTGGGGAGTCACCCTCCACATGCCGGCTCCAAGCAGCTGGGTGCACCCACGTGGTCGGCCGGCCTTGGGCCCGGCAAAGTTCTCTGTCCCTCTGTCTCCTCCTCACACGGGCAGACGCTAACAATGACGTCCCTCCCGGCTGAGGGCTCCAGGAGAAGCTGCTCGGGAGAGAGGCTGCTATGGCAACTTGAGGAGAATGGAGCCAGGCACTGCCGTCACCTTGAATCCGGCACTGTACCTCCTGCCACCGCAGCACAGGGGTCCCGGAGCTCAGCTCTCCTTGCTGCAGCCGGGCACTGGTGGATGACCTCGGCTTCTCTCCTCAGCCTGCCGGCCTTGGGAACTCATCTGCTGCTCGCTGATCGGAGCACACAGCCCAGTCCCCAGAGAACACAACCTCCATCTGTTTTGTCAGGCTAGTTCTTCGGTGTGCCGCTCCGGCTTACTTCTGAGATAGGGCTCTTCTTGATTTCAGCTCATTAAAATCCTGCAGCTAATTACACCGCTCTAACGGTGGCGGCGGCGGCAGCAAACTCTGGGACGCGTCCCTCCAGTTTTTATGCATAGGCATAAAGTTGCAGTGTTCTCCGAGGATGACGGATGGCTGGGAGTCTCAGACTCTGAGGCAGGGCTGCAGACTCAGAATTGCTCTTAGGATCAGCGCAAGGCTCAGGGTCGCTGGCCTGGGTCCTGAAATCCCCAGGACCCAGGCTCTGGGACAAGCAGGTCTTCCAGGCTGCACCCTGCTTAGGGTTTGGCAATTTGCCCACCATCCACTCACCGCCTGTTACAAGGTAGGGTTCCCTTCAATCTTGCTACGCTTTCTGCAGGGCAGAGAAAGGGCCTCTTAGGCTGGAGGCCAAGGCATAAATCAGGTTCAAACGCCCTCAAAGCCTCATTCCTACAATCCTCCTCGGAACAGTGCAGCCCAGCCTTCCACCAACCTGCAGTCACAGAACCGCAGTGACAAGGTCCTGAGATCCCCAGGCCATTGACTGCTACTAGCATTAGAACCACAGCATGGATACTATCTCTGCAGGTACAGAAAGTGAGTCCTTCCTCTCCCCAACCTGGGCAGTCTGGAATGCCCACTCAGCACCCCAAATCCCCTGACTCTGAGAGCTTGGGTGCTGGCCCTTCCCCGCGCATGGACTGCACTTACTGCCAGACTCAGACAGAGCCTGGAGAGCTGCTTCAAAGCCTCTGCTCATCTTTGTATTCCCAGCACTTAGCACAGTGCCCGGCACAAGGAAGGTGATCGATAACCTCTGCTGCATGTGGAAGGAGCCTGAGTTAATAGATGGAGGTGTTGGGGGCCATCAGGAGGGAGGCACTCCATGAAGTTGGAATTTTAAAAAGGTCATTGATGTTTCAGGGAGCTGTGGGTTTGTTTTGATCAGGTCTGGGTTGGAATCTGGTCCCAAGAGCAG